GTTAATGTACTAACCATTGATTCGTGTTTTAAAATATCTTTAAACATTTTTCTTGAGGCATTATGTCAGTGTACTATAGTAACTGCAAATCCTTCTTTTCAACGTTTGTAGAGTTGCATATTTGAAACATGAAAATAGCTTGGCTCAGGCCAGACCTAATCAACGTCCTACTGAAGGTTGGCACTCCTGGTTTTTGCTGTTATTTCAGGATTATTTTACTAATTACCACATAATTGCCCCAGTTTTTAGAGACTGTCCTATTTTTTTTCAGAGGTTCTTCACAATATTTGTCTAACATTTCTCAGGACAACTTTTTTTTCTTCCTATTTTCCACAGTATGTACCAAGAGTATAGCTTGGAATAAGTTGCAGTCTCCAGAGTATTTGTTAAAAGATCTTCCCTCTAAGGAGGCAATATGGAAGCTGTGCTGGGACAGAAATCTCATGGAATCCACCCCTGCCATTTATAGTTTTGCCTTAAGCAAAATCTACCCAAAACATGGCACAACAATGCCTCTAGAATTTTGAAGGTAAGGAATCATGACCATGCCCCTAGAGACAACCCTGTAAAGCAAAAAGTGGAGAAGTATTTAAAGACAAGAATTCTTGAGAAATGAAGCCAAAAAATTAAGCTGCTTTAAAAAAAAACAAAACTCGTTTTTGTCTTTAAAATGACTGAGTACAAGTGTTTCTCCATAATTATCTGGTAAACTGCCCTTGACTATTTTAATCTATTCCTGGTCATTTTTGTTTTATTTTATTTATTTTTAATGTACTTCTAGAGACGAGTAGTAAAGCTTTATGGCTGTCATTAATGTACATCCACATGGGTCTATGGTTATTTTATAAATTGTAAGTTATCACCATAATCTTCTTTCATTTTGAAGAATGGCCACATTATTTTAGTAAATGAGAATATGATCATAATTCAAACTGAAGCCAAAAATAATTGACCATTTATACAATATTTTCTTTTTCATGAAAAAGCCACACAATAGGAACAAACTGACAATAAGTTTTTTAGGCAAATTCCAGGATAAGTTAGAGGATCATAGCAATGTCTGATTAGTTAGTTTTCAACCCCTTCCAGAGCTTCACTACTGTAAGTGATAATCAATGCCCATTCAGACAAGCCAGAGACCATACAAGATGGTCAGTGTTTTCTGAATTGCCACTATATTAAGAATCATTTTCATTCTAGTTGTATTTAATTGCTTTCTAATGGCTATTAACCAGATTCCAGATAAACAACTGTTTGCTGAACTAAAGTATAGAAAACTGTTTTATAAGTCTAATGTGGTCTACAGAAGTAAAATATGACTTGCAGACTAATTGACAACTTACAAGTCAACTCTCACACTTCATGTCATCGTTATGTTTCGGGTAATATAATTTCACTCATGAATATTACCAATAATTATGCACAAGTGGATTTCAACTTCTTAGATACCTGCTTGCATGCCCTAGGGCCTAGACTGCCATCTACTTTCATTCCAAACTTCCTTTTCTCAAGTAGTGTTATCTCTTCTGGCTTCATGGTACATTATCCTCACACTCAGTTGATGAAATCATGTGGACAATTTGAAGGTATCTTCTAAATCCTAAGCAGGTCACTATCATTTATGAAAGAAATATAGCATATAATGCAAGGAGCATCCCTGCATCTCGTGATGCAGCATAACAATCAAATTGTTTTTAATTTTGTGCAGTTTACTTTAGTTTTCAGAAATTTTGTTAGACCATCTGAGAGAAAGGACATAAAGTTACATGAATCTTTTCCAAGGCATGGTCTGCCCAATCTACGTAACAAGTCATCGGAGCCTGTTCTATTCTTTTCTAAAAGAACCACAGACCACACCAAAAGTCATTTTGAGATTTCAATATTTCAGGATTTTTTTTTTAGATTTATTAGAAGGTAAGTACCTTATAAATATTATGATTTTACCTTAGTCTTCCTGATGATTCCACGTCTCTCATAAAAGCTTTGAGAAATAGTCCAGTGCTTTATAATCACCTGAAACTAACCTGTACTGTATTGCAGTAGAAAGAGACACTGCTTTATTAGATAGTCACTATCTCACAAACAGTTATTGTCTTCAGTGTCCTGAGGAGCACAGAAAACTGTCCTACATATTTGATATACGAGAAAGCATATATCAGATAAAATCCTTTCAGAATTTTTTTAAATGCATAACTCAATTCAACTCAAATATTAATTGAGCATCCATTCTAGTTCAGGTGCTGTTATAAATACAAGAACATAACAGTCTTTTTCTGTTATACAGATCAATTATTTCAGGGGTCTTTATACATTTTTTAAAAATTCATAAAATCCTGATTTTCCCTTTGTACTTGGAATGTTAAAGGAAGGCATTTTCTCTACTTCGGTTCTGGAATTCCCCTGTGTAATCATCTACACTTCCCACCTACTGTTTCTTTAAAACAAGGCTACTTTTTCAAAAAGTTGTTGAAAGCCAGGTGATCCACTTAACAATTCAAAGAATGTAGTCAGAATTATATTCAGATGTGCCATCTTCTTGAGAAACCCAGGGGGTTTGAACTGGGAAGACCAGAGCAAGGGAGGTAAGAACACCTGACTCAGAACAGAGGAGGGATAGGGAGCAAAGGAATCTGGCATGTGGCATATCCACCTAACCAGAAATAATAGTAAGGTAAACATGTAAGGAAGGTGGTAGAGACTCCTGTAGGAGTCAAGTTAGATAAGCTTTGAAGCTTCCTGGTAGAGGAAAAGGTTTCAGGCTGAGCAGGGCTGGTAACACCCTGGCACTGCCGGAAAGGGAGCTATTCTTCGGTTTCTGGACAGGGGCAGTTCTTAAGCACATATCCCAGTAATAATGTTTTATAGAGGATGCCAAGAGGACAGGTCTGCTTATCCACTAGTTCCTATCATTGGATATATGTAGATTTGGGGTGTAGGGGCCAGTGGGGACAAGGGAAAGATTTTTATAAAAAAAATATAGGAAGAGCTAAACTTAACTTTAGATGAGCTCTAAATCACTTGTGTACTGTTTTACCTTGACGGTACTATAACTTCTAGATTAAACCTATTCATATCCAACCATAGAGATAGAATTCACAATTATTAGTCTATAGGTACTGACAGAGTATTTCTACAGGACACAGCTTCTCATTTTCTTTTACTGGACAAAATTTTAGTGATCTATCTTTCATATAAAGCAGAGATAGCCAACTAAAAGTCAGTTTCCTTAGTAAATCCAAAATAATCACCTCCTCATTTACATGAGAACTGTGACTTTCATCCCAATTAGGTTTATAAATCAGTATGAATATTAGTTCACTTATAGAAATAAATGAAAATAGATCTGAAAATAGAGATGCATGTCCCTCTGAATGCAAACTGCCTCCATAATGACATCTGTAACAGACTTAAAGCCATATTTAAACATAAAATTTCCACCGACCCCATTTCAATATAGCTCCATAAACAAAGTTCCAATCTAACTGACATAAAAAACGTTAGTTTCTTTCTTGAATAAAAATTTTCAGTTTTGATATGCACAATCATTGACTTGCACAATCCTACAATATATTAATACTTCTCTGATTTAAAAAAGCACTTCTTAAAAATTGTGGTCAATGGATGGAATTTTATTGCCCTTTAAGCTTCAAGCTACCTGATAAAAAGTGGAATAAGATCTCTATAACTAACCAAAGTAAGTAACAAAACTCCATTCCCTTGCAATGCCTAACTCTATGAGCTTCTTAGGTTTACGATTCTTCAGGTAGTAGTTTGTCTTTATATTTACCTTAAAAAATTCAAGTGATTCTCAACCTAAAATTATAGAGAAAAAAGTGACCTATTAAAGGGGGGGGGAGGGAAACAGTTAAAAATGTTAATTTACATTCTAAGATCTCAAGATTCTGAGAAGCCTATTCAGAAATCTGGAAGATCTAAAAGATCTCTCAGTGACTAGAAAAGCCTTCTACAATTGCTCCAGAGATGGTAGAAACTAACCAGATGCATTGAAAGTCACCATTCACAGAACTAAAAATACACCAATGTTTTAAGAACCAGCTTCTTATGATTCATAGTTCTGGTAGCATTTTAAGTCCCATAAAATATATTTAACTTTGAACTTAAGTGAAATTATATTACAAAAGAGCCTTTTATAATAATTTCTTATATCTTTCACTCTGATAAAACAATTCTGATTGAGGAAATAGAAGTGTCATTGTCTGCATTTGTCTGTGATACTGTAGACAAAGTAAGAATATTGTTTCTCCTCTAATAAATAGCAAGTGAGCTCAAAAAGTCTACCAACTGACATATCTGAACATTTTCCACTTCCTTCCGAAAGATGAAAAATCACATCAGACAGCAAACATATTCTTTAGATTAGTGACAGGTGTAGAACACGCACACCAGTCAGTCTTTATTTTCAGTGTCGGCAGGCATGCTCAGTGACAGAGGATACAACTCTTCCTTTTCATTGAAGTGACACACATCATATTATTCCTTCATCTACACATCATCCAGCAGAAAAGTTCCCAAGCAATAGGACTACCTGCTCTTGGTTGCACACCAGGCTATTCTTAGAAGATAAAAACGTCAGTACTAAAGAGAGAGGAGGAGGAGGATGATAATGAGTCTAGTTTAAGAAGGAAAAGTTATCTCCATGCTCATACTCATTTCTCCAAACCAAGGAGGTGAAAAATTTAGAAGCTTTATTTAGAAGTTAAGTGATTTAGATCTCAGCACAATAATATGGTTCAGGAAACACTTAAAGCTTCAGCAGAAACTGGGTGTTAGTGAAGTAAAAGTTGTAAAAGTAAAAATAAAAGCCCTCCCCTCCCCCTAGGATGCCCACCAAAAACTCATTTCTCAGTTCCAGCTTGTCTTTTCTCTGAGCCAAATAAACAAAAACATCAAAGATACAAAATTATTACACTATTCAGGGTAAGTTCTGGAAAATGGGAGAGTAAAAGGCTCTCTAGTACCAGTTTGGATTTAGCACGTACCTGCTCTGATCCCAGTTGGCAGCAAAAAGGACTAGAATCTTCCTGCCATAGTGGTCCAGGTTGGCCAGGCCCCCAGGGAAGCCATCCTTCAGTGCCTGCTTGATGCCAGGGTCAGTGGCCTTGAAGCTTTTGAACATGTCCAGATTCTGCTGCCGATACTCAAAGTACTGTGCCAGGAGGCGGAAGGCCTCAAAGTGATGAAACTTCCTGGCCCGCAAGAAGCGTAAGATGAAGGCATCATCCGTGCGCAGAAAGCCAATGTCCGGCCTGGTGATGACCATGTCCCTCACCTCCTGAATGTCCTGGTGCAGTGTGTCTGGGTTCTCATTGAGCTCCAGGCGAGCCTTCTCCAGGGTCTCAGGAGAGAGACCAGCTTGCAAATGAGTCATTGTTCTGCTTGTTTCCGAGTCTTTCCTTGTGAAGCGCTTGTTGACTGTTCCACAACAGACCTGGCCCTTGCCACCACCACACTCTGGCCCCCAGACCTGGCAGCTGCCTGCTTCCTCTCCCTTACAGGAAATGATTTGTCTTGGTGTCCAATCAAGTACCCTGTTGCTCCTGATTTCCCACAGCTTTACTACTGTGGGGGATATAAACTTCCTCCCCCACCGGCTAAAACAAGACGCTCCACTTTGGTTCCCTATTCCCTTTCCTGTAAAGAGATGTGGACCTCTGGCGGGCTCTGCACTCCTCCTCTTGTCCTTTCTCTCTCCTAACAAAACACCCCTAATTCCACCTACCACTGGTGGTTCTGATCTTGGTACTGTCCTCTTCTCTTCTCTTGCAAGATGTAACAAAAACAACCCCCACGCACATCTCAGCCCCAGCACTGGGATGCTTCTGCGGTCTCTACTGAAGGATGCGCCTGCCAAGGATCACGCTGGAAATTCTGATTAATAATAAGGTGGCTCTTCAGCGCTGAGCTCCAGGGCGGGGAGGGAGCGTCTTAGCCAGAAAGAAAAAGAGAGAGAGAAAGAGGGGGAGAAAGGAGCTTTATTTCTCCCTCTACTTATTCAAAGATGCTATTTTTAAAAGACATATATTTGCGGGATTTTATTTGACTGTGATCCAATTAGGAGGAGACTCTGCAGATAGCGCACCTTCCCTCCTCCCCTTAGAGAGACACGCCGTGATCTCATAAGGCACCAGCAGGGGTTTTGGTGGCCTTGGCTCCAGCGTGGGCTTCTCCTACCCCACCCCCAACTTCTGCCTCCTTCTAGCCCTTTATTTCAACGGACTTGCCGTGGGGGGAGAGAGGCAATCTCTTTGGGAATGTGCGTTTCAAAAACGGGGGGAGGGGAGGGAGTTGGGGAGAATAAAATAAAAATGTCTTTTTCTTTTCTATATAAAACCCCAAAGCAAGAAAGAAGAAAGAGCAGCCGGCTCCTACCAGCAAACCCGGAGGCGGGGACGCTAAGCAATGCGGCACTCCCTGGCATCCATCAGCCGCGGCTTCGGCGGCGGCGGCGGCGGCAGCATCAACTCCTCTGGGCGGGATGGAAGGAGCAGAGCGGAGGCGCGGCAGCGGGGACCCGGGCCGAAGACGCACTGGGGAGCGGCCGCGGCCACATCGTCCGCCGGCGGCGCGCCGTCTCTCCCCGCGGGAGGGGCGGGGACCGCAGAGCTAGGGCCACCGCTGTCCCAGGTCCTCGCCTGGCCCAGCCATCTTCGCCTTCGGGAGACCAGGGAGGGAGCGGGACCCGAATGCCTGGCTGGACGAGGCCGACCCGGCGGCCGCCGCCTTTGTACGCCCGGGGCCGCCTGGGCGGTGGGCGCGGCGGGGCGGCTGCTGCGCGGCGCCGGCCTGTCCCCGTGCGCTCCCGAGCCGCGCGAGCCAGGGGCGCCCCGCCGGGCTGCTGCTGAGGCTCCGGCTGCCGCTGCTAAAAGAGGACTCGGCTCAGCCCAACTCCTCTCTAATTATCCCAGCACAGATCTCGCTGCGACGTAAGCACTCACTCAGCTCGCGCACGCACCCCGCTCCTATCTCCCTGCCTCGCTGGGGTAGGATGGCAATTTTGATGGCATAGAGATATCCCGGGTCCCAAGTTTAGCCTGCTTCTCGTCCTCACCCCAGGCAGGCTGCGGGGCGGGCGGCGATGCCTCCCAGCCTCCCCACGCCCCTCGCTCACCCTTTGTGTGCGAGACCCCAGAGCCGCCCGAGAGTAGCTGCTGCAGACGGTAATTCACGCTGACACGCGTTCTCTCCTTCCTGCAGGAGGTAATTTTGGTGTGGAAGGAGGAATACGGAAACATTTTGTACTTGCCGCATTTGTTGTTGACTGAGATGTTTAATTTAGAAAGGAAGACCAGAGTGATTCCAAGGCATTGTGTTGAGAGGATTCAGCCTCTGGAGGAACTTATATGAATAGTTTTTCAACCGTAAACTCTTCCTGCTAAATTCCTGCTGAACAGGGTGAAAATGAGCACTGGGGCAAATAGGAATAATAATGCAATTCTCGAAGGAAAAATTAAATAGGCACTTCTTGACTCACTGCTCATCTCGTAATAAAGCAAATATTTCTGGAGACACATATCGATCTTTCCCTCAATTTTATGCATCTGTATACCGGACTCATTATCAATGAGCAGGAGTCCTTGAGTTTAAGATGACTGTCTACGGATTTGAGGAAAAGGAATATTTTCCAGTTTCAAAACACAGCATGTATTACTGAGCATGTCACTAAGAACAACTTTTGGCTTACAAACCATAGGATGGAATCCTGAGTTCAAGTTAACTCAATACAATGAATGAATTGTAACTCAATGAATATTTGCTGAGCTTCTGTAGGTGTGGGACTTTGCTCTGGATTCTATAGATAGGAAGTGGTGTTGAAGGTAGAAAATTTAGTCATGCTTTGAAGAATATTAGAGCCCTCAAATTACAGGCACACTATTTTTATTGTTCTCATGGCAGTGGTGTTGACAAAAAGAAAGAAAGAAGAAGGTTGTATGACAGAACTGTACCATTTTGTTGATTAAATTAATGCTAAGTAATGTATTATGGGACCCAAAATAAAAGAACAAATTACTTTCTGTCACACACACACACACACACGTACCATTTTGTTGATTAAATTAATGCTAAGTAATGTATTATGGGACCCAAAATAAAAGAACAAATTACTTTCTGTCACACACACACACACACACACACACACAGAGTTATTATTCTCAAGGAATTTATGTTTTAAGTGGGGACAGAAAATAAACCATATAGATGTGTGTGTATGTGTATATATAGGTGTGTTGTATGCACTGCATAGATTTAAGGTTCTTCTAGGACTTTGTGTAATTATGACTCTCACAAGCATCCTGAATGCAATGTGAACTGTTAAATAATTTGGTTCTCAGTTCAAAGTCTTTTGAAAAAAATCATTTTGGGCCAATCTTTTAGAGGTTGGAGAAAATTTCTGTCTCATATAACTATAGGAAGAGGTTTTAGTTATCAACAATATCGAAAGACAATTCTCCATGTATCTCTTGTGTGTTTCTGCATGTCTTACAAGAAGAGTATCTTTTCAAGGAAGTTTGTGTAGTGAATAGACTTGGAAGATCCTTAGAAGATAGAGATAGTACCTACATCTGGAAAAAAAGGTAGGTTTATTTATGGCCCCATAAGCTCTAATGTTTCTGTCCTGAGCAAAGGGTAGGCAGACTTATTTGAATTCCCTGAACTCAGAGCTACTCTGCTGTAATGCCATCCAGTGTGTGTGAAAGTATCACCCTTTTCTCTTATCCCTGTAGGAATTAATGCTCAGGGATCAGTGCAAGATAGGCTGATGCTCATACTGCTTTCTGTGCCTGAGTGATAAAATCCTTTATCTCTCTAACCTAGGAGTTTTGCATCTTCTACCAGCATCCTGAAACTATAGCTGGCTAACTTGCTAGCTCCTAAGTAGGGTTAATACTCAGATCCTTCATCATGCTGAAAAACTAATTGCTTAATTTTGTTCTTTATATTTTTGAAAGGAATTTATAACATTCAATTAAATCTGTCATCTCATGGTATCATAGGACTAATATTTAATGACAACATTTTTATTATTTGTTGTTTATGAATAATAAAATTGCTTCAAATAGGTTTATTTTAGCATATCCACATAAGGTATAAATAGCCTCTATCATTCACTAAGTTTATTGGTCAGTTAGGCACATATAAGAATTTTTGCTATTATATTTACAATCCATTAAGTCCTTTCTCCAATAATTACACTATTATTCTCTCTCACTTGTACATTTGAAATCAGTTCTGAAGCCAAAATAAATATACAAAGCCACCTAAAATTAAACAAAGTGTTTATCCAGATGACATCAGAGCATTTGATTCTCATTCAATATTAATTTACCCTGACAAATTAATGCAAAGTTATGTAGGAACTAGAATAGGAGCATAAATTAACTAAACAAAAGGATTAATTAAAGCATTATTGGAAAAATAATTAAATCAACTTCAGGTGTTTTCAAGTAACTAGAAAGGCAAGTTTGGTTTACTGCTATATTTAAAATGGATAGAGTAACTAATTTATGTTTTTAAACATTTCATCCCATTTATTGTTAAAGAAAATGTATATACAGGAAGGGGCACAAAACCAAGATGTATAGCTCAATTGTATATTACCAAGCACACATCTGTGTAACTATCCAACCAGCTTAAGGAATTGAGCATTGCCAGTAACCAGAAAGCCCCTCTCCCATCCCCACCTGACCACTGGCCTCTTCTTTCCGACAAAGGAAGCCACACTATCTTCATTGTTAAAAGCAAACCTTAACATTTTTTTCAATTTTATAAACTAAGTAACTACAATTTTTTTCCTGTTTTTAACATAATCATTCATATGTATTTTTGTGATTGGCCTCTTTCATTCAACATTATGTTTGTGAGATTTACCTGTGTCATTGCATGTAGTTAGTTCATTCATATTCTGTAATGATGCATGCAATTGCATTTTATAAACATACTACAATATATTTGTCCATTCTACTGATGATGAAAATTTAGGTTGTTTTTCAGTTTGGGTCTATTATGACTCATGATGTATGAACATTCTGATAAACATCTCTTGGTGCACATGGACACACCTAGGAACGAAAATTGCTAGGTCACCTGTGATGTGCATCACATATGCACATCAAATTTAGTAATTAATGCCAAACTATTTTCCAAATGGTTGTACCATTTCATCCTTCCACCCAGCAGCATATGAGAGTATTCACTGTGCCACATTTTCTTGATTCGCTTTATTGTCTATAATTTTAACTTTATCCATTCTGATTTTGAACAGACGTGTGTGTTGCATTATGGTTTTGGTACACATTTTCATGATTAAAAATGAGGCTAACTTTTCACATTGTTTTAGGCTATTCGTATACCCTTTGTAATTTTGCCCATTTATAGTGGGTTGTTTATTGTTTTATTGTTGACTTATAGGAGTTCTGAATGTGAGCACTTTCTTGCCTGTGGTGCAAATATCTTCTCCCAGTCTGTGGCTTGTCCTTTCACTCTTTCAATAGTATCTTTTAATTAACATCATTTTAAATTTTAATGTAGTTCAATTTTTCCCCCGTGAATAGTGCTTTCGTTGGGTCCTCTTTAAAAATATCCCACAGTTACTCAGTTATTCTCAGATATACCTTTTAAAAGTTTTATTGTTTTGACCTTTCCCATTTAGATTTGCAGTCCACCTGGGAGTGCATTTATTGCACAATATGAGAAAGAGATCAAGTATTTTTTTATTGATTCAGCACCATTTATGGAAACTATTTATTGAAACAATCACTTTTATTTTCCTACTAGACAGAAGGGCCACCATTGTCACAAAATGTCCATTTATACATGGATTTTAATTCAATATAAATTTTAAACTCCACCTTGTTTTACACAACCAACATTCCTCAGTGGTTCTGAAAGAGCGTGCTCCAGACCAGCAGCATTGTTTCCTCTATTTCTCTTTCCATGTTATCTACATTTTCCATTGTTTTTTCTCTCCATCTTTTTTTAAGACATTTTCTGTCTAACTTTCTTTCAGTTTATTAAATCACTCTTTAGCTCTTCCTATTGTGTTTTTCTGTCTCTTCACTATCTATTGAATTCTTAATTTTGATTATTTTATTTTCTAGTTGTAGGATTTCTACTTGATATGTATACAGACATACACATAACAGAGCTAACAAATAGAGATATATTAGTTATGTTGTAATTATTAATGTAAGTTTTTATCTCCTTATATATAAGGAACATACTGATTTTACTGTTTTTAATAACTTTAATATCTGGGTCCCTGTGGATCTCTACTTTTTATTATTTTATCTGATGTTTCTAGTAGTTTTAATTTATACCATATTATCTCCTTGAGTGGCTATTTTTTAATTATATACTTGTCCTTGCACTTACAAAATTATTTTTAGGAATAAATGGTGGCCTAGGATGATGTTATCTGTCTCCAGAGAGTTTTCACATTGGCTTCTATCAGTCTTTTGAAAACACTAGCACTGATGGAAAACTGGGCACTAAACTACAGATCAACTTAATCCCATTTCAGGGAATAAAATTATGTAGAATTGAACTGCATTCTCTATTGGATAATCTGCATTCTCTATGAGGATAATCTCTTCTTGCAGTAGATGTAATGATTTTTCCCTCCAAAATTCATATGTTGAATCCTAATTCTTAATGTGATGATACTTTGAGGTTGGGCCTTTGGAAGTTGATTACGTTATGACAGCAGAGCCCTCACGAATGGGATTAGTGCCCTTATAAAAGAGACCCCAAAGAACTTGATCACCCCTTTAGCCATGTGATATTACAACAAGAAAATGGCTATAAGTGAACAAGAAAGCAAGTTCTCACCAGACACCAAATCTGCTGGTGGCTTGCTCTTGGACTTTACAGATCCCAGAACTATAAGAAATAGATTTCAGTTGTTTATAAGCCACCAAGTTTATGGTATTTTTGTTACAGCAGCACAGAGTAAGATACTTCTAATAAACTCCCTTGTTCCAGGCCTGGACTTTAAGCCTGTCTTCTAGATCTTCAAAGATGTCGGCCTCTCCAACTCTAAGCTGCTCTTTCTTCAATCATAAAATTGCCCCAAAGAAAAAAGTGACCCCAAACACTGGATTTACTGCCTCTGGCCTTCCTCTTTTTCTATTTTATTGTCTGTCTGATATATTCAGGCATGGTTTACTTGTATTTATTGTCCCCTTTAGATGTTCTCAGCAGGAAGGTTCATCTCCAAAATACCTAAACTGAGTCCTTTTTTCTTAAGAGACTCAAAATTAACTGCAGCAAGTCTCCAAATTCTTTTAAGACTGAGATTACTGACATTTTTTAATGTCAGAGATTATAATTTAATATCTATATCCATATTCATGTGCATAATTAGGAGATATATAAAAACTATTTCATGAAGAGGAAATATGTCTGCATTATTAAGTCACTACTAGGAGCTCACATGTTCATAAAAACAAAAAAAAATACTTAAGCATTAAAACATATTTCTAAACTTTCCCTTTAGTATTTATTTTTCCAGTACATAATTATTTCATCACCTGCAAATATCACTCACAAACAAGTGATAGTTGATCCCAAAAGTATAATAAAAAGTTTATAGGTTTATATTTAATTAAACTAAAATTTAAAATTGGGTATTGTTTAACTTTTTATTTTGAGATAATGATAGATTCACATGCAGTTCATGAAACAATGCACAGAGATCCCATGTATCCTTAGCCCAGTTTCTCCCAACGGTAACATCCTACAAAACTATAGTAAAACTGTAGTATGATCAGGATATTGATATGAATACAGTCAAGAGTCAGAGCATTTCTGTCAGCACAGGGATCCTTCATGTTGTCCTTTTATAGCCACATCCACTTCCCACAAACTCTATTTAACCCTCAGACTCCGAAAGACCAGTGCTCCTAAAATATTTATATGCACCAAAGACTTTAGAGTCTTTTTTCTTCTGAAATTAGAGGGTCCATAGCTAATAGTCTCCTAAACACAGGGAGCATTATGAACATTGAAATAACAACTCA